CGCTATCTGGTCGAAGAGGCGGGGATCAACAAGTCCAAGACCAACGACGAGGGCCTCACGGCCGCACAGGCAATTACCAACGACGGCTCATTCCCGCTTGTCGCAGCGTACTTGAACGATATACTGGGTGAAGCGAAGGGTGAGCTACCGCCGAACGTGAAGGTGTCGTTTGGCACAACGGAAGTAAAGGAGGGTGATGGGGTGGTGGTTGATGCTGCGCTGCGGGCGCGCATAGAGGAACTTGCTTCACGCGGCGACTTTCATAGCGAGGAGGGACAGCGCGAGTTGCGCGGGCTGGTTACGGATGCGCTGCGCGGGTCTGGGCCGGAGTCATCTGAGAGAGACACCAAGCGGCGTGGGTGAAGGCTACGACGCTGGATGCATTTTTTTTTTTTTTTACCGTGGGTCAAGGCGAGTGACTGGCCTGGTTCGGATGTCAATGGCTAACCGGGCCAGCAGTCGAACACCGCAGGCGTTGCGTGTTGCACGCTGCATGCTGGGCTCGATGCTGTTGTGCCTGGGAGGAAGCTCGACCAGCTCATCTCCGGCTTCAGCTCCGCCGCTACAAGGACAAGGGTGTATCATAGCATACGTATGATGCGGCAATGAGTCACAGCCAGGCAGCCAGCAGCCTTGTGCTTCACTGGGCAGATGGATATCGTTGCTGTGCTGTCTATGCTGTGGGAGGCGAGTGTGCCGTTATCGTGTCCTAGCACCGCATTGCATTACATATTACACTCGGCTGAGCTGGCCATGCCTACGATGTAACTATCACTCACTACCAATATCTATCAAATCAGCGTCCCATCTACCAAATCCAGTCCAATGCTATATTGATGAGTGCGAGTGGTCTAGCTGTATCAGCTGCTCTGGCGCTCTCTGACCAACCGCATGGCTGGATGGTGTAGTTGGTTATCACGTATCGCTCACAAGAAGCCGGAGGATCTTTTCCTCCGCCTCGAAGGTGCCGATAAGGTCCTGGGATCGAACCCCAGTCTAGTCATTACTTTTTGCCTTTTTTTTTATCTCTTCACTATAATAGATCTTGATAGATAGATAGATAGATACTGGATGTGGGTTGCAGGTTATGGACTTTTATTGCGTGGTGTTACATGTTCCGCGTGCTGGCGTGGGTTGAGCTGAGCTGATCTGGCTATCTAAGAGGCAACAGTAGAGCGGAAGGATGGATATAGGTAAGGTAGGTAATCTAGACATGGACGAGAGCATACAGCGAGCAGAGAAGAGGAGGAAGAGCAGTAAGTAGGACGGGTGGAAGAAAGGTCCTTACTTACTCACGGTAAAACGAACTCTTGCATTAAAGAAAAGCGCAGGTAGAAGAAAGGGCAATCAATATGAATGATAAATTCTAGAAAAGGGGGAAAAAAAGGAGATGGTCGTTCGTTGACGGATGTCGCTTTTTGATTTTTGAGTCAGTTTGAACGCATGGCGCAGGACAACGGTAGCGGCCACGGCACCGGGACCGGGCATTTTCGAAGATAAGAAAGGTAAGAAGAGAAATAAAGCATAAATTTAGACCGAAGTAAAAGATCCTGAACGCCGCATGCAGATTTAGATGGTGAGAAAAGACGAACAAGTAAACAGAGCAGTAACACGCATGGAATAAATAGGTAAGTAAAATCAAGTTCAAAAGGGCGGATCTGGCCTGTCCTGTCCTGTCCTGTCCTGGCCTGGCCTGGCATGGTATGGTATGGCCTTGATCTTGCCAGGCGAGACGGGTCGAAGAAGTTGAAATGAAAATGAAATCCGAACTGGGGCCGTCCAGCCGTAGAAAAGGAGGAGAAAAATATACAAGACATTCAAATCAAAGCAAGCACTCAAAGCAAGGTTAAAGTGTTTTTTAAACGACTCCCTAGAAAGAAAGGACAGAAAAAGAATAAGGTATCTCAATGGCTTTTTAGTGTTGTTTTTTTTGGTCGATTGGTTTTTTTGATCGAAGGGCAGACCCGACAGTTGGATCCGGACGGGAGGAGGACATCATGCATGGATCAGATCATTTAATAGCGCATTCAAGTCATCCGATTCGTCCCGAAAACGTGTTTGCCTCCGACCGTTTGGCCGTTACCATCGCCCTGTGGGTGGGCCAGAGTGCTCTAGGGAGCTTTCTTTGGACGGACGGACGGACCGACCGACCGGCCGACTGACTGACTGACTGACTGGGCCGAGAACCGAACCGAGCCGAGAGAACACAGCAATTGCAAGGAAAAGTTAGGTAGAAAATCGCACAACGCATAACATTCAAAGGGAGTCTTTCGGTATTTCTTTTTTTTTTTTTTAAGTCTCAGCGGGTTGAAGTCCAGCGGTCTCTGTTTCCGAGGCTGGTCAATTCAATTCAATCAAGTAATCGTTTTTTGATTTTTCTTCATTGTACATTCATATCAATCTGTAAGGCGAGACGGGGCAGGAGCAAGAGGTTGCTTGTCTCGTTCTGCTGGATGGTTGGTTGGCGCGTGCCTTGATCATTTCAATTTTATAAACCAAAAGCGAGTGAGTGGGTGGACGAGCGTAGAGCTCATATTTTTCTTTCTGAATTCTTGTTTGGTCGTGATTATCTCGCATACCATACGATATGCTGTGTGCGTCGAGGTGTAGTGGGGTATCATTGGTAATAATTTTTTTATCTTTTAGTCCTTTCATTCGAAGTGATGAAACGGAATGGGGTGAGATGACAATATGCGCACTGTGCAGCGCGATTATTGACCGACGTTCTGCTTCATGGCGTCAGTTAACAAAGAAGGAAGAAAGAGGGGAGATTAAGCGAGGAGCGACGTACCACTGCAACGAAATTGCTGCCATCCGCGCGCTGGACCTGGCCCTGGCCCTGGCCCTGGGCGTCTACGGGGGCGCTAGTGCCCTGCTCAAACGAAGGGGTATGACCATTCGCGGAGAGAGGGGAGAACTCTGGTGCGGCGGATGAGAGTTTGGCAGACCGTTTAGGCTCGTCCGCCGAATAGCTGTTGTCAGCAGGTACATAGTTTGTATTAACGTATGTTCCTTTCCCATGGACGTGAGCATGAGCATGAGCATGAGCATGTCCATTCATATGCGCCTGTTGATGCTGCGGAATATACTCCTGCGCTGTTGCAGATGAAGGCCCCTCGTTTCTGGCGGAGGGATCCCGCTCATCCATGCTGAGCACCCACTGAGCCACTCCTC